CCCCAAAACCCCAAAACCCCAAAACCCCATGTTACTTAAATATAATTTCTAAGGTAATTATGAAATTAAGATTAATTTATTTTAATTAGGAAATCTTATCAATTTCCAAGAGTTACTCTTCTTTATCAATACTCTTCATCTTAAAAACTCAAACCGATAGTAGGTTTTTTATTAGTTGCAGCTTTACTTTTACCATCTGTCTTATTATCCTCGATCTTTTGTCTTTTGAAGGACTTTGGTTCAGCAGCCAGTGAAGTAACACTACTGTTGCTATATGACTAAGGCTGTATATCCTCTTTATTAGTTGGATCAGATTCTATCATTGAGAAATTCATACCTTTTCTAAATCTATTTTGTTACTTTTAAAGATGACTTGTGATTGATTTCTCGTTTTAAGCAGGTAATTAATTTTATCCAGTGTTCTGCTGCTTTCCTTTATAATCATGTTCAAGATTTCTTATTGATTCTCTTTTATGTTACTCCTCCAAGATTTGCTTTCTCTTATCAACATAGAAGTGGGGAGCTAGCTCTGTGAGCCATTCAACTTTTACTTCGGAAACCTCTCTCATGAACTTCTTCGAAGTTACAACTATCTCATTGTATAATATCCATTTAGGTCTGATATTTGCTAGTACACTTGAAGGATGAATAACTAGGACATCAGTCATACTTCTGACATTTCTGTATGTTCCATCTACCTGTCTCTAAGCCACATTAGCGAAATACCCAGTAATCAGAGACTTTAATATAGCCTCTGGATCATCATAATCATCAGACTTTAGAACTTTAACGTTCAGCATCTTCAAGTATCCTCTCAGCTACTACTTAATTTAGACTGCTTTCTTCAAACTTTTTTCATTAACATAGACCTCACGACAGAAGCCTTTCTTCTCATTGTCAGATTTCTTAGAGTTGTAGATGTTAAATATGTTGAGCAAAGATATGTGATCACCTTCGATAACTCCATACTTTTTCTTCGCTTTCTGAATTATCGTTGGATCTTTTACTGTAACAAACAAATTTTGAACTTGTAATAATGCAGCTACAGATAGAACTTCTTCAGTAACTCTCCACTCTTCCTTATCTATTGGAAATATTTAATTTTTAATTATCATTTACTAGAATTTAGTATTGCAGCAGCCATTCTAGGATCGATTGGCATCTCCACCAGTTTCATGCCAATATCTTAAGTAAGCTAAGCAGTATCATCAATAGCCCCAAGACTATAGAGAACCTCTAATGATCTGATGAAATTCTCCTTGCTTGGTGGACTCAGGTAGTCAAAAGTTAGCAGATTCCTGATTCCTAGAGCTTTGAGTTACAGGATCAAATGACTAGTGTCGCTTCTCTATATTTCTGGTTTCATTTGCTCTGGCAAATATCTCTCATACTCCTCCTTTGTGCAAAGTCTAAAGCATTTTCCTGCAGCGACTCTACCAGACCTCCCTGCTCTTTAATCACATGAAGACTTTGAAGCTGGAATTACAACTAGAGACTCAAGATCTAAATAGAATAAATAATTGATTGTATCAAATTTACTAGTGTGAGGATCATAATTCTTGATTTTAACAAAACAAGAATCAATGACATAGACTATATTATCTATTGTGATTGAAGTCTCAGCGATATTAGTGGCTACCACAATTTTTCCTAAGTTATATCATTCTAATATGAAATACTTTTATTGATAGGAGTTGGCTCAAATATCTTCATTTGTTTATCCATTGGTAAATTAGCATAGCACGGCAGACAGAATACTGAATGTGATAGTTTCTTTTCTATACTTACATAAGATTAATAGTATATACATTATGCAGCAAGATTGAACTACTCTATGAACATGTTGATCTCATCTTATCCAGTCAGAAATACTAGAACATCGCCTGAATTAAGCTCCTCCCTCATATGAATAGTAATTGCAGTCTAGACAGCCTAAGCCACATAATCCTTGCAGGATTTCTCTAAGTATAAGATTTCCACTGGGTATTACCTCCCTTCGACTTCTATTATCTATGCCTTGAATTCTGGTGGCTCATGAAAAAATCTCCAAAACATTTAAGCTTCAATAGTAGCACTTGATATTATAATCTTCAAATCATTTTATCTTTTCCTTCTTATCTTCTTTAGCAGTCCCAGGATAATATCAGTATAAATACTTCTTTCATGACAGTCATCTATCATCAATACTGAGTATTTACTTAGCAATGGATCGATAAGCATCTCTCTAAGGAGCATGCCATCAGTGACTACCTTTATCTTAGTGTTTTCAGTAAACTTTGCATCAAATCTAATGGAATAACCTACTTCATCACCCAGATTAGAGCTCATATTAAAAGCTAATCTACTTGCGATGTTTAGAACTGAGACTCTCTTAGGCAAAGTAACACAGATCATCTTGCCGTCTTTACAATAACCAGCTTAATAGAGAAATTGCGGGAGTTTCGTTGATTTGCCAGAACCTGTTTCTCCTACTACAATGGTTGTGTTGTTTTTCTCTACAGTGTATAGGATTTCAAGTGCTATAAGTTAGTTGCAGATTAGATAATTACCTTTTTCCTCAACGGGAAGAGTTTTAAAAAGTTCATTTTTGTTAAATGCAATAAATGCCCCCTCTTCATCTTCTTTTACATCGTTTTCTATTGGGTTTGGATTATCACCTTTTTTTTCTTGCTAATTCAACTTGATATTCTTCATTTTATAAATAATTATAATAATAATATTTAATCAGAATTATAAAAAAATTTACTTTATGGGGTTTTGGGGTTTTGGGGTTTTGGGG